AAACAAAGAGGTTGAAAAGAAAGCCGGTGAGAGCCGGGATGTGGAAAAGGCTCATTGTGCCTGCGTGACGGCCAGCGTGTCCACAAACAACAAGGAGCTTTGTCAAAAGGCAGCGACACTCCGCAGCCACTGTTCCAACAGAGGCCTTTCTTTGAGCAAATGCATCCACGCTTTGTTCTCATCTCACTTGGTCCTTTCTCTCGCCTTCATGCAACAGCCCAAGCAGAAGAAAGTCACCTGCTACCTGCTCTACTGCGTGTCCACTGCCGTCATCGGTTCGCTGCAGTTTGGTTACAACACCGGGGTCATCAATGCACCTGAGCAGGTGTGTGTGTGTGCGTGTGTGTGTGTGTGTGTGTGTGTGTGTGTGTGTGTGTGTGTGTGTGTTAAGAAACTGGCCTGTGTGTTGCTAGAATGGTTTGCAGGATGATTCAAATGTCAAATTTCCTTGACCCAGGATCACGTTGAGGAGCTGAGTAGTTTGAAATGGGCTCATTCGAGTGACGCCGGACTGGAAGCCTCACTTCGCAAGCAGCTGGATGCCAAAGACATGGAGCTGAGGCAAGTCCAAAGGAACATGACTCAGTGGAAGGAACAGACCACCGCTCGACTGGCCTGCAAGTTTGAGGAAGAGTTGACAGCTGAACTGGAAAGGTGACATGCATGTCAGGGCAGAATGTGTCTTCTCAGGGTGCAGCAGGGGTTTTTTTTTTTTGTTGTTGTTTTTAACACACTACCACACACATCCATGGAGCGCCAAATCTGTCTGCCCTTGCCTGGATCAAAATCCAACAAAATCGCGTTCGACCACCTTTTCCCCAGTCTGAAATTTCGTCTAAGCAGAAATGCCCATTGAGGCACACATGGCGCGTCTACCAAATTCACAAACGCGACGAATTAGTTCATTGCAGTGACAAAGCGCCCGTTTTTATGGTGATTATTGCTGACTGTGTATTTAATATATTTTAAATGTGTCATTCATTTTTGCCGTCCCACAGGTGCAGATCAAAGTTATTAAGGGGCAGGTAAAACTGTATAAACCTGTTGAAGAATAGTTTGCTAATACTACTAACCAGCATGACCTCACCTGTACTCACACCGATATTTCCCAATGCTACATCAGATTATCCCATTGATGTCACTTCTGGAGTGTGTGGGCCTCTGTATGCGTCAGCTAACACCTCCACTGTTCACTGATGGCAAATACTCCCTTTCCATATTGCATACATGGCAATGGCGAGTGATGAAAAAAGCGGAAGGGGCGTGGCCTGGCCGGGGCGTGGCCTGGCCGGGGGCGTGGTTACTTACAAAAGTGGCACTAAACATGCTGAAGATGAAGTGTATTCAATTTACACACCATTTGAAACTTTAACAGAAAAAAAATCCCAAGATTGTTCACTATTCTTTCAAGTGAAAATTTGTGCAATTTTGCTTATGCATTCCTAGTGAGCACCAATATGTAACTCCAAATTTGCTGCTCAAAATCAAAACTAAAAAAGTAAACACATTCCCTGCCATATTTAAGATTTGTTCATGACTTGTATTCATAAAGTGTTGAGTAAATGTGATAAAAAGCTGTTGATTCTTACCTCATACAGTGATAGTGAATATTTATTATGCATACAATTTATTATGCATAACCGTGCTTTATCATCCAAGACAAAACGTGAATTATCAATATGAATATAAAACGCAAATAAAAACAAATAAATGTTATCATGCTGTTGCTACAAATGCATACCAAATAAAATTGAAAAGATCATCCTCGTATATTTGAATAAAAAAGTATATACCTCGGAGTGTACCTGTCTATCGGCGA